TTGAAATTAAGTACTTGAATTTCGCCGGGTCTTTTAACATGGAATTTTATGCTGGCGCCAAAAGATAATGCCTTTTTCAATAAAAAGGTAGTTGATAAAGCAATGAGTAAGTAACTTAATCAGTATCCAGTAGTGCCCGCAGTAAGCAGATAACATTGTATTACAGACAGAATGAAACTTCCTCTCCTATACAAAAGTTTACGTAACCAACTTTTGCTTTTATCAACTTTTTGCTTCAGCTTCGGTTTGCGAGCAAAAAGTTAGACTAGTGACAGATGTGTTTTGCGGGGAGGACACGGCGCAACACACGCTCGCCGAGTGTGTAGCTTGGGAGGAGCAGCGCCGTGTCCTCAGAAATGAAGTAGGAAGCGATCTGTCGCTGCCGGCCGTAGTGCGGAAGATGGTGGACAGCGCAGAGTCGTGGGACGCGGTGGTGTCTTTCTGCGAGGATGTGATGTCGCAGAAGGAAACTGCGGAACGGGAGAGGGAGATCTTACTGACTTCCTTTCCCAACCGCAGAAGGCGCACCGGGCGTAGGAGAAGGGCCGACAACGCCCTCTTCCGGCCCCCATAAATGGGTCCAGGGGCGAAGGACTTGGGGAAGTCCTCGCCCCCGACTTCAAAGACCCGAGTCGAAGGCGCGCGCGGGTGTCGGCGTGCGCCTTTGAGGCGATGCACGTGGCGCACTGCTCCGTGCAGGTGACGGGGCCCTGACATACGGGCCGGCACTGTAATGCGGGGCTGCGGATGAATTTGGACTCCCGTGGCCCCGCACGCACGTGTGAGGAGACACTGGGGTGGTTTTAGCCGGTAAGAGTCCGGCACACCCCTCCGCCTTTCCCCAGGCGGAGGCAGTCCATGAGGATTTCCCCCCATAAAAAAAAAAAAAAAAAAAAAAAAAAAAAGTGACAGATGTGTTAACTTCCGATTTCCGTTTAAGGCTGCTGGGAGAAGACCTTACTAGTCTTCGTATTCAGAGACAGAAAAAATGGAATTATTTAATTTCATGTTTTATTATTGCTACAGTCATTTCAGTCGCACGAAACTCGGCTCGCTCTGAAACTCACTAATTGGCTTGGTACACAAAACCGGTGCTACTCAGCTTTGAAGCGACAAAAACAAGGTTAAACGCAATACATTCCACATTACTATTAATTGTTTTAAATGAAATGATCGATTGCCGGCCAACAAAATGCTTTTGTTTCAAGCGCTACATGAACAAAAAGCAATTAATCTTTGGACAAAGCCGTTGATTAATGCTTTCAAAATCGTTAACAGAGTTTAGCTTTTCGTGAATAGATATTTACGCTGTGTTAGAAATATTAATCATGACGTTTTAACTTAATTATTCATTGAAATGTTTCATTTAATTCTGCCAACATACTCCATAGCACGGATGAGCGACGAAGTTGAGGAGGTTTTGGAGGAAAAACAAACTCAAGGAAATCATTAAGCATGACTAAAAGGTAAGGCTCCATTGCAGCACAAAAGGAATTTACATTTATAAATTACGGATCATGAAGATTGACGACAAATTGCCAACCTTGTGTTGTATTGGAAGCGAATGTCAGAGACGACGACGAAAATAGCACTTACTTGGTCCGTTGCCTCGTTACCTGCCCGAGACATTTAAGTGAGTAGGTATCATTTACCGAGAACAATACCATAATATTCTACTGCTAATGAAAGAAATAGGCAGCCATTAAAGACAAAGAATATGTTTGTCCTACAAGGCACATGGCATGGTCGTCATGTGAAATGGGGAAATCAATAGAATATGCACGACCCATAAATGAAAACGGCCTATGAATCGGTAACAAAGAGCGACCAAAAGATCTTACACCTGAAATGATGAGACTGGTCTCTAGTTATTAAAAATATTCTAAGTACTCAGCTTAATAAAATACATATTGAATTAACTTTATTTACTTCCACGAAACTCATCACAGACGAATTGAATACGGATAGTCTGTCCATTATCCTCAAACCTTAATCAATTATTCTCCTAACATAAAAAGAAACCAGCTCAGCTTTGACAGAAATTAATTACAAGCTTAAGTTGGCTTCAAAAATATTAATTTGCGAGATACGAAAGTATTCCTCCGAGATCCGAATTTGGCTAAAGCCGTATAAAATTGGCCGCCCACGGGTAAAGTTTATCTAGGAACAAATTAATGTTTTCATCATACAAAACCGAGAGAATATTTGAATACGTTTCTTATTGTATTTATATGTTTAACGGTATAATGTTGAAGTGTTTACGTTAATGTCAAGGGTTTTGGTAGCTAATCTAGTAAGAAAAAGTACAGAATCTGGCGTGTTGAGGTGAGACCGTCAGGAAATCGAGGCGGCCGCTTTCCGTCGAGACGCTGACCACTTTTACTTTCGCCCCCGTACATTCACCTGGGCCAAGAGCCGCGGTCAAAGACGCCCTACATAGCGACCAGTGTGTACATTGTACAGTATCTTTAATAGACAAACACTGGGCTAATCGATAACACGAAATCAGGAAGCACAACCATAACAAAAAGTCGTTTCGAAATGGTTTTAGTTAATTATTCCGGATATAAATAGCAACGTATTAGTTAGGTCATTAAGCAACTGTATGAATGGCGCATTTAGTTACCTAATTACGAATTTATATCTTCTGTTGAATGCAAATGATACCAAACAGTAGATAGTCCCTAAATGTCAATATACTGATCATTATTCTATCTAACATTGTATAATAAATGCCAGAGATCATTGTAACAAATGGCATAAAACTAGTTTTATTGTAAATCAATCTACACAGGAAATATTAATGATCACGATTTTTCTTCTCAAGGAGGAAGTCAATGTGAGATACACAGATTATGAATAGTTAAGTTGTATGTCACAGAACAAAAAGAAAAAATACACAGACCCAAAATAAACAACAAAAGAGTTACTTAAATAAATAACCCCAAAGGAATATTTAATCACTAAACTTTTCCTAAGTCAAAACAAGCAACAATATTTTTTTCAATTTGCTCTTTAGAATATTCACACTGGCAACATTACTGAGTTTCCTTTACCTTTAGTAACAGGTGTTCAACTTAGCAGAACATACCTTATGTGTGAACAAAACAAGTGGTTCATGGAATGCAAGTAAAAAGGAAACAACTCATTATTAATGAGCAAGATCCCAAGGCTATAATGTAATGTAATGTTCAAATACATTAACATAAAAATACCTAATTAAGCCATTAAAAATGTATTCTATTATCTATGGCTTTAAAATGTTCATAATTTTAATATTATTTTTTTGTTTGAGATTATATTCTATTATGATCATGATAATGCAAATAGTGTTACGGACGGAAAGTTTATAATTTCATAATAAAAAGTTACAATAATTTATACATATAAGTTAAGGTAGTTAATGATAATTTTATTGTTTAGATGATTTGATTTATCAAGATTTTATCAACAAATCCATTCTTTTTATTATTTTCATGGTTATTAATTAATTAGTATAAGCAACTGAATTGTTTTGTACTCATACAAATATTATAACATATTTTAGCATTATTACATATTCTTGATAATAGTAATTTAATACCATAGAGAATTTAATACTGGATTGGACTATCAAATAATTTTGTTACATATGTATATTACCTATCTACATTATTATTTTAATGAAACCTAAAACTTGTACTGTTAATCAGAATTCAGATATTTTTATTAATATAAACCTGTTTCCATTTAGAATACCTGATGATAAAAGTATAATAAACCAAAATTAAATAAAGTCTATTTTATATCAACAAGGATAGCTAACAAAAAAATATTTTTGTGTAAAAGTATTTATGATAACTCATTTTCCTGATACTGAAAAACTTTCAAGTATTATATTTAGTATCTATTCACACACATCTAATCTTTTACAAATTCCCTTATCTGACTGATCATTAAGAATTTGAAATGCATTCCCTGACTAATATAGATAAGATATTAAATATTTCAATTACCACAGATAAAATTTGAGGACAGCCATTCTTCTTTTTTATTGGTGTCAAGTTCTAAACAAATCTGATTAAATTGAATCATATTGAGATAAATGTAGCAATATCATTAGATATTTAGATACAGATTTGTATATACCTTCATAGGATCCTTAAATATAGTCTGTAGACAAATATGTTTATTGCAGACTTAACTTTTCAGTACCAATGTACTAAGTCGGTATTTACCTATTTCCTTAAATAAAATTAATCATGTTATCAAACTACAATTAGGTACCTAATACATTATTATTCACTCCATCTAAGCTTGCCCACAATGAGCATGCATGGTTATTGCGTGTGAGCCAGCTCATAAAAAGATAATAAATTATTGGTAATCTACATTTTATGGACCCTAAAACCGTGATAGTCATTAATTAATGTAAAAGATGAATGTTATTTGGTTTCATTATGGACAGCAACTTTGTTTAGAACAATTTTATTAAGACAAAAGTATGTTCATTTATGCATATAGTGTATTAAGGGTAATTATTGCCTCTAAAATGATCATAATGCAACTCACTGACCAAAGATCTTTATAGATAAATTAGATTACTGAAATATTATGATCATGTGATGCTACTAAATTATTTCTTAAGTCAAATACTCACAAATATGATATAAACATGATTAAAAACGTGTAAATAGTCTAGTACTTTCTGAATTCTAAAGAGAAAGATTAATAATATTCACTACATAATTTAAATTAATATAGATTACAGTTTATCAGAAGATTGCAGTATCACAATGCAGATAATTTAATGTTAGTCGAAAAGGTCGAAAATTGGTGACTAAGAAAAAAGTAAACAACATGAAGTATTGTTGAGTTTCTGTTTACAATCACACTGGAGCAACTAGACAAGAGTAAACTTGGATATTTTGCACTGTCGTCACTAAGCGAACTGACACAGAATCTATAATACGTTCATATCTTGATAAAAAGTAGAAAACGGGACAATAAAATTTACATACCTGAAATCCAGACTAAGGTTTCTCTGATGGGTTGCAGCTTTGGGGGTTCGGACGTCGCTCCGACTTCCGTGGACGGGTACATCCTCTAACATTCTCACACACGCGATGCAGCGGCACAACACAATAATATACCCATAGCACTACCTCCCCGTAGTAAAATCACAAAGTAAATAACAACATGGCGTCCGCAACCAATACTACAAACGCAGACAGAGAACCCTTGCTCTTGCTCTTTTACCCTCAATTCCCAACAAAACTATCTACTCACAGCCGTTGATGTATCATCAATATTTATTGCAAAGTAGTATGTATGTATTGTAACAATCAAAGTATGTAAACCTTTGATTGCCCTACAAATTCTTCAACACGTAACCCAGCGTATAGTGTGAAGAAAAACAAACAACGAAAAACACTAAAACGATTTTCAAATAAAAATCAACGGTAGGCGTAATAAAAGAAACAAATTCTTCAAAATTAAAGAAATCGATGACGCTCCAACCGAGACGACATCCTATTATTTTTCATTTTGTGTTTTTTTTGATAGCAGTCACGTAAATGTGTTTAGTAATTGGCAACACATTTCAATATTGCACAGATAACTAAGAATACTAACAAAAGGGACAATTTTCATGAAATAATACTATTTGACGAAAAGTGTAAATAAAAAATTTTGGAATACAAAATATTTACAGGTTTTACACGTCATGCAATATAATGTATAATTATTATATATTTTTAATTTGTTATAATTATATATTTTTCCCCGTGGTAGAACCATGCACCACCACGAATGAACTGGCTCAATCAGATGCTCAACAGATTACTATAAACTAGTCAGGGCCGGGCTCAATCGCAGTGATATCGGCCTTACAGAAAGCCGGCGTAAAACCAAGATAAAATTACGCTTGCGTAGTTTTTTATCGTATGAGTGAGATTGCCTTAGGCCTGATCATTCCCACATCACACTTAACGGCTGGCAACGCACTTGTAACATTTGTCCTCTTGACGTCATTCGAAGCCTTAATTTGTTGTCGGAAGCCTACTGATAATAATGCAATAAGTACATCTGGTTAGTCAATGAGTACCATAACATAACATTACGCCTTGCATCCCCGAAGGGGTAGGCAGCGATGCACATTACGGCACTTAATGCCATTGTACAATGTAACACCCACTTTTCTCTATTAATGTTATGATTATCAAGTAATAGGGGGTGAGCCTATTGCCATATACCGAGCACAATTCCAGACTTCGTGCTACTACTAAGACTTTTTTTTAAAACCAGTACTACCTTGCCCGAACTGGGATCGAACTCGAGACCCCTTGCCCGGCAGTCCCAAATGTAAGGAAGGAAATTAAAAACAAATTGTTTCACTATCAAAATACTTGATTATTGAGTGAAAGCATTAAATAAATTAATATAAAATCTTAACATAGTGCATTACAAGCTACAAATTAGTAAAAATTAATATAATACAGCATTGCACAGCAAGTTTAATGTGGTTTATGGTTTTGGGGATGATTCTTGAGATTGTCTTGTAGAAGATTGTCTTTTATGGACATTAGGCTTTCTCAGTCTGTGATAATTGGGCATAACTTTGCTTAAAAAGTCTAGTTGTAATAGCTGCGATGGCTGTTTTTCCAGAGCTTCTCGGACATGATGTTCAGAGCCCCATATCACAGTGTTGTCTGCTAGAGTTTGAGGTGCTGTCAGACGGCAGGCTGCCCCTGAAAAGATTTATTAGAGAAATACAATAAGTGTCTAAAATCTCAATTTAAAGAAGAATAAACAAACAAGACTTTTTTGCTATAAAAGCTGACATTGACCCGAGTCCAATAAGAATAATTAGTATTATGCCCCTTATTTCTGTTTACATTAATAAATAATTTGCATTTACCAATAACACATCCACTTCCTATTTTGACATCAACACCCACAAATGACCTGCATTCAAAAACATTGCTCTCTCCTATGTGGCCACATGGGGACTCCAACTTGCAGCCTACTTCAAACACATTGTGAGCCCCAATGAATAAGGGTTTCGGAGGATTCTCTTGCTTATCGCTTTTTCTGAAAATCAAAAATATTTTATTGATAGTAGTGAGCGATTCATAATCTATGATGAATAATAGGTAATTATTGAATATTGATAAGCCCCTGCTGTTGGACTACAACTTTTATGATAATAGTTTAAGAATATTTAATCCTTTAAAATAGTTTTCATCTGCTTACTTGTGAATAATAGTGGAATATTCTTCAATGATACAATATTCAGCTATTATTATGGGTCCACCTTCCGCAATGATTGTCACTCTGGGGTGAATAACTGTGCCTCCACCGATTGTAATATCTCCTTCTAGTGTACAATCCTCGCAAACTGTAGCTCCAGGAAGAATTTTAACGCTAAAAAGAAGAAATTACAAAACACTGAACAATTTTGTCTTTTGAACAGACCATTGCGCTTTGTCTACAATAAAATACACTTACTTGTGAGACATCTTATTAGATAAAATAATATTCTAGAACTTGGAATGGTAATAAAAGTAAAAGTAAGTATTTAACTTAAATTATTGAACTATTTTGGAATAATTAAAATTTCATTTTTCGTCACCGATTTGACAGAAATAGCAAGTGACATTGACATTAAAAATAGTGTGACGACTCAAGAAACTCTATGGTACGACACCATCATAAAGTTGTGATCGTTTGTTAGTCGACTAAATATTAATCAAGTGGTTTCTCTAGTCCCTCTACTGTCGGGAAAATAACATCTGTCAATATCTACGACGGCGGGAAACAAAACAAATAATATTGTTGGTTGGATTTTGTTGCCGAAGTTTATTTACATGTTTTTCTATAATACTACACACTGATTTTGTGCTCGACTAAAATAATTTTATGAAGTTACTTCATTATGGATATTACATTTCCATTTCCTTTTAAACCCTATGATATTCAAGAAAAGTTTATGAGAGAACTTTATTTTACTTTAGAAGAACAAAAACTTGGAATATTCGAAAGTCCTACTGGAACGGTAAGTTTCATAGCTTACTCATAGCTTAAGAATAGCCTAAATTGTAACGGGTAACTCACAGTGAGTATCAATTTTAAACCAAAATGTTAAGGTTAGGTTTCTGTTTAACACACATATTATTGATCAGAAATAATCAGAATGCTTTAATTTTTTAATGCTATATGTAGGTATATTTTTAACTCTTTACTATTTTAGGGTAAATCGTTAAGTATTTGCTGTGGAGTTTTGAAGTGGTTGAGGGACAATAATCAGAAAATAGTTGAAGATCTAGAAAAAGAAGTCACTCAATTGAAGGCAGAAATATCAAATAGTGCAGGTATATTCTATTTTCTGTACCTATTCTGTCACAACTTTCATGTCTTGCAAAACACTTAAATTAGCTTGACTTATTTTATGTGATATTGTACATAATTTTAAAATAATCCATTATTGTGTATTAAGTAGTAGAACTTCTATAACTTTATTAGTTTACTGGTTCAACTGAACAATCTATGTTTAACTTTTTGATACAAAGAATCAAGTAAGAAGAAATTAATTTCTAATCTATCCATTACTAACTGTATTTCAGCATCTGATGACTGGCTGACAGAAGAATATGAAAAAATTAAAAAGAATCAGAATCTCATATCCCTACAACTAAAACTAGATAAAATAAAAAAACAAAAAGAAGTCTTTGATCAGATGAAAGTACGACTTTCCAAACAGAAGACAAATTCTGCTAACAAAACTATAGAATTCTATTTTAATAAGAAGGATAAAAGTGAGAAATTAGAAGATGATAAGGAGAATCTTCTAGAAGATAAAGGGGAGAGTGAAGAAGATAGAGACCTTATTTTAGAAGAGATTGAGGACAAAGATGATGAAGCATCTGATGCTGAAGAAGTTATAGAGGATGATAAAGAGCAAATGACAAAAGTAAGGATGTTATGGGATTTATCGTCTAGAAATAAGTGTTATGCTACTTTGTATGGGTAATTTGAAATGTTTTTGTGTTCGATGTGTGTTTTTTTAGGGAATCAATTAACTGGCTATCCCAGCTAATAGGCAGAATGTTTTTTAACCGCTTGAATGCCCGTATATGAGACACAATAAAAAATTTATTATAAATGAGACACAATACACATTTAGTCACACGACGAGTTAAGAGATAAACACCAAAATACTGAAAGACTAGTTTGTGGTATCTCTGTCATTTAACAAAGAATTTGTGTGACAGAACTTACTTAAACACAACTTAAAATTGAGTTGCATTTGAGTATATGGACAAAAGTGTTACAATAAATAAAAAATACACTGTAAGCACTGCAGTACAATAGTAGTGATGATACATCTGTAAATACAAATACCAAAAGAATTTGGTCAGTAAATCATATTAATATTGTTCTTATAATAAACGTATAGATATTACAGTTTTAAGTGTGGGAGAGCTATGCTTCGGCACAAATGGGCCGGCTCGACCGGAGTCATACCACGGCCTCACAGAAAACCGACGTGAAGCAACGCTTGCGTTGTGTTTCGTCGTGTGAGTGAGGTTAATGGAGTCTCAATTACCTCCCCTTTCCCAATCTCCCTAATTCTTGAATCCCCAACGATCCTCAAACTCCTAATCCCTAAAAGGCCGGTAAAGCACTTGTAATGCCTCTGACGTTCCAGGTGTCCATGGGCAACGGCGATTGTTTACCATCAGGTGATCTATCTGCTCGTTTACCGGCTTATGACATAATATGATATGATTAAATTCTACTTTACAGATATACATAAGCAGTAGAACACACAGCCAACTGTCTCAGTTTATAGGAGAAGTCAAAAGGACTGTTTTCAAAGATGACACTAGAGTGGTCACGCTAGCTTCCAGACAACATTACTGCATCAATTCTGAAGTTACTAAACTAAAAAATGTAAATCTTATTAATGAGAGGTAAGATTTTTCAATATTCCATGTAAGTTTCTTTTTTATATTTGATGGGCTGACGTTTGAACTCTATCTCGCCTGGTGGTAAGCGAAGATGTGGTCTATGATGGAGCACGTCTTCCCATAAGCACCCTATTCACTAGGGCCTTCAAGAGGCCAGGTTAAACCCTTCAGGAAATACACTCTGGCAAAAAGTTCTACTCCTTAGCAGTATGCACAAGGAAGCTTGATGCGAAGCGCTTCAAGTAAAAGGTGAGTCATACTTTGGCAGGAATGGGCGCACTCAACCAGGTTCTTAAAAATTACTCCGGCCTCAAAGAAGTACCACCTCCTTCACAGTAAATCAATGTTAGACAATGCTTGAGTTCTGTTTCGTCATATTATTGAGATTAATGGAAGTCTAACCCTCTAATAGGCAGACAGGTAACGAGTAATTCTTCTGGTATTGTAGATTGCAGGATTGGGTGATACTGATCATTTACCATCAGGTGATTCATCGGCTGATTTGCCCGATATCGAATTCAAAAACAAACATTTTTTCAGATGTCTCGACATGCAGAAATCGAAATCTAAATCAACTTCAGTAGGCGAAGACGGGAAAGTGCTTAAGAAGACCAAAACGAGAGCATGTACCGCCTGTCCTTATTATAATCAGACTAATATAATCCGCTTAAAGGAGAGAATGCTGGTGGACATTATGGACATGGAAGATTTAGTCAAATGTGGCAAAGAGCTGAAGGCATGTCCTTATTATGCTTCTAGAATGGCTATGGAAGATGCTGAGGTAATGTAATATTATGTAGGTTTATGGACCTTCTTTTTGATTTGCTGAACTTTATCTTGATCTAGAATAAAATTTCTATGAATAAAATAGTAACCAAATTGATAACCTTCTTGAGACATAGTTCAGCCTTTTTCAGAAGAAAGGCTTCTTTCATATTAGAACTGAAACTAAGAAGAAGACTGTATACATACACTTTGCTCAGCTATTCTATGAGTCTCAAGCAAACCAAACAAAATAGTAAGAACTCAGGAATCATATCAGAGACCCCGTTGTCAGTCGCACTTCCAACCAATCGGCATACATAATGAGCACTCGTATATTTCCTCTCAAAATTTTTATTAGTTTCTTTAAAGTACACTTTATGACTATCACTATAAAGTTGTAATTACCTTAATACCTCATTATAGATGGTCCTAATAAGTCACGCAGGAATAGTAAGCTCAGGTGCTCGCTCTGGAATATCATTAAAACTGGATAACAACATACTAATACTAGATGAGGCACATGGGTTGACTGCGGCCTTAGAGAATGCACACTCTGCACCAGTTTCGGTAAAGCAACTGAACTCAGTGAAGACATTCTTGCAGTTTTATATCAACAAGTATAGAGCGAGGTTGAGTAGCAAGAATCTGTTGACGCTGAATCAACTTAGTTTTGTCGTGGGGAAACTATTGGGTAAGTCTTGTTTACTAATCATGTAATTTTTTTAGGGCGGCAATCCAATGGCTTCGGTTAGGCGAGAGCTCTCTCTCGCCTAACCGAAGCCATTGGATTTCCGCCCTTTGGACGGGGTGGATTTTAGTAATTAAGAGTCTGACACTCTTGTCAGACTCTTACTTACTAAAATCCACCCCGTTCCTATTCCTGCACTTCGAGCTGGATCCCCGGTAACCCGCTAGACCTTCCGCGGCTCCGTATCTACTAGATCTAACAAAACCAAAAACGTTACCCCAGCAGAATCTCGAATAACTTCTCAACCGATGAAATAACAGATACACAATAAGGCACAACATTTACTTCATCTAGACAATTAATTTTATAGCTAATAATTATTTAAATATTCCCATTACAAAGAAAAAGGTCTGGCTGGGGTAATGTTACCCCAGCAGGAAATGTTTTGTGAAATAATTAAAAACCATAAGCGCAAAAAAATTTAAATAAGTGCGCAACAATTACAGAAGCCGCACAACTAATTATCTATAAGATTCAAATGACCATTTTCGACAACATCTGCCTGGGTAACGCACAACAACTATGACCAGCCATGGAAGGATAGACAGCATCCCTACTCACCCTCTTTAAGTGTACCTTGCAATAAACCGTAATTTCAAGCAAACGAAAGTAAAGTATGATACTTTCGCTTATTTTGTGGAATAATCGAATTATTTGTCCCGTCTATCCTTGCTTGGCAATAGCGTATTCTACAAAGCTTAAAATCCCAAACCAGTTTTACCCTTACCTACATGTCATTTTAAATTATTTTCAGGTATGATAAAACCGAAAACTTCAAGCGACAAACAACAACATGAAACTACGATTTACACCCTTGAGGACTTTGTGATAAAGGCTGAAATTGATCACATGAACTTACGACCTTTAGTAGAATTTTGTAGAAACACTAGGTTAGCTCCTAAGTTACATGGCTTCTCTATGAGGTACAGTCAGCAAGCACTTGAGGAAGAGATGAAGAAAAGTACGGTTAACAAAAAAAGTTCGTTCGAAATGTTTATGAGTAATATTTCTAAGAAGAAAGGTGAAAACGTTGAAGTTGAGCCGGAAGTAAAGGAAAATGTTAGTGTTCAAGTTAATGTAAGTAAATGAAGTCGTATAGTTTTTTGTGATAATCATATCCCATTTTATCTATTCTTGTATAGAAATGTAGACTCTTAGTACCGCTGACAATCCATTTTCTTGGACATTCGTAATAAAATGTTATATCTGACCACGGATTTGAATAACATTCCCATCCCTATGTCATTTTACAAAGAATTTATAGTGACACCTTTTGTCTGTCGATATATGAGACACAATAAGAAATACACTGTGTCTCGCATAGGTCTGCTTCCCGGTACACTACAGGGTAAGCGCGACTTAAAATTGTAGCGTTTCTGTATTGAAGCATTAGTGTTTTAACGTACCTGCGTGTATTAAATTAATTTATGATTGCCGCATTGGCAGAGTGGTCGCAAGTGCGACTGCCGGGCAAGGCGTCTCGGGTTCGATTCCCGAGTTGGACAAAGTATTATTGTGTTTTTTTTTAAATCTCAGTAGTAGCACGGAGTCTGGAAATGTGCCCGGTATATGGCAATAGGCTCAAACCCTATTATATGGGACTCATAACATAAATAGTGAAAAGTGGGTGTTACATAGTACAATGGCATTAAGTGCCGTAATGTGCACCTCTGCCTACCCCTTCGGGGATAAAAGGCGTTATGTTATGTCTAATTAATTTACGTCGTAAATCTTTTTAAATATGTTTCTTTTAACAACCCAAACAAATTATACTCTATTCCACTACACATAAACTCTACATTCCAGGTGCCAACAGAGACATCAGCGGGCAGTGGATTGTACGCAGTGTTAGATTTCCTAGAAATGCTATGCGACCGCAGTGAGAACGGACGAGTATTGGCACAGGGAGACCAGAATGGATTGCTCAAGTATTTGTTATTGAACCCTGCTGAACATTTCTCTGAAGTCGTGAGGCAGTGTCGATCTGTTAGTATTATTTTTATTAACAACTAGCTTTTATTTGCGGCTTCGCTCGCGTCACATAAGGATAAAAAGTAGCCTATGTGACATATAACAATACACACAGCGCCATCTATACCAATACTTTTGTTTTTTCTCGGGAATATCAATTTTTTCCGGGTTATAAAGTACCCTATTATTTAATCCGGACTTCTAACTTTACGTCTGCAAGAATTCAAAGCAATCGGTTGAGTAGTTACGGCGTGAAGGTGAAACAAACAAACTCACTTTCAGATTTATAATATTAGTAAGGATAAGGATAATAAGGATTTCACAGAAATGTCGGAACGCAAATCTACGCGTGACACAATGCCTTTTCTATTGTGTCTCATATATCGACAAAAGATAGCTACAGACAAAAGGTTAAAGACCAACCCACACTACTGTTCGGCATCGGTTTAGTAAAATATTATCTTATAGGAGAACTAATGAGGACAATTACTGTTGTTCTGATTCAAACTAAATTGTGTCTTGAGGAAGAACATAGTGTAGATAGGTTCATAACATAGTCTTAATGTTTTTGTAATTCTATTAGAGTTTTATAATACCTATCCTGTGATAAAATTATAAATAAATTAACATATAAATTAACTAAAAATCGCGGGTTACTCACGTAAATATACTGAGAAAAGTCTACTATGTGAATTTATTTCTGCAAATAATGCAGAAATGCAGAACCACAGAGAGGTTTATGTGTGCGTTACCATTTCCTGCTGGGGTAACGTTTTACCCCAGCCAGACCTTTTTACTTTCTAATGGGAATATTTAAATAATAACTAGCTATAAAATTAGTTGTCTAGGTGAAGTAAATGTTGTGAAGTTATTCGAGAGTCTACTGGGGTAACGTTTTTGGTTTTGCTAGATCTTTGAAATGGTTAAGCGGATTCTTATCATATTGTACATGGCTTCTTAGGAATTACTTTATTTTTTTTCTGCTTAGGTTATTTCATTAAATATAAAAATACCCGCGATTTTTAGTTAATCTATTGGAGTTAATTCTTGTACCTTTATTCATTATTTTGTGTAGTAATTTAATTGGGTTTCATTGTGTGTTTCTTTAATCGACTTTCAACTTTAATTGTATTTATTACATAACTGTAAACTCAGGGCAGTAAAGTTCAAAATTCAATAGAGAAAACGGGGTAGCTTAAACTTGGCATCTATTGCACATGGAGTAACTCAAACCTAAATATAAATGACAATATGTATCATCTTAATTTCAGGTGATAGTAGCAGGAGGTACAATGGAGCCTATATCAGAATTCCAAGCGTTACTAACGAGCCATACAAACAATACAGACTCAGTGAACATAGTTCGATGTGAACATGTAGTGCCGCCAGAAAATGTACTAGGAATATGTCTGTCTAAAGGACCCACCAATGTTAGCCTCAACTTCTCATATGAGAATAGAATGTCTCATGAATTGGTAAGTTTTGACAACAATACGGTATTTAACAACTAGTCAAATTCAATACTTTTTTCGATCTGTCGAAAACAGACAGTTTTCTATGAATTTTGTACGAGATTGTATATTGTGACATCACGTTTTTATAGCGTCGAACAGCGTACTTATTTCTTAAAAAAATGCTGTAAAATGGAAAAATACTAAAATTAAATTGGTCATAAAATGAATTAACGAAAGTGTGATTATTTTTTAATATTTTATTGTATTGAACAGTCGAAATTATTTATTTTTGATTAGGAAAGTACCAAATTAAAGCTGCATCTATTTAAACGACTTTTACAACACCTTATTTTTTGCTTATACATAAAACTCAGGCTCTTATAGCAAGTTTCTGCTACAGATACGTATCAAAACGAGAAAAATTAAGTTATTTTTCTGTTTTTACATATGTTTTATTTTTTCACAGCTCAGTGAAGTAGGTCGTATCCTCAGAAATATATGCAGCATAGTTCCCGGAGGAGTCGTATGCTTCCTACCTTCATACTCCTATGAACAAACTGTATATGAACATTTAAAAACCAATAAAGTCGTTGAAGCCATCACTAAGAAGAAACCCATATTCCGGGAGCCAAAATCTGCTACCGATGTTGATCAGGTAAGATTGTCGGAATTTGTATCTTGTAGAATTGGAATTAAGATTCATTCTTATGTGATTGGTATAGAGTGCAGTGAGTGATAGTTATAATTTGTTTATATGTTACGGGTAGTTATTCGATTTCGAACTTAAACAGTATAAGTTGAGAGTTCATTGTTGTTTAACAAAACATTTTTTAAGAGTTATTATTTTATTTATAGGTTTTAAATAAATTTGCATCAGCTGTTAAGAATAGGGATGGAGATCATAATGGAGCTTTATTGTTGAGTGTCGTTGGTGGCAAACTCAGTGAAGGATTAAACTTTAGGTAAGTTCCTTATTTAAATTGATCTCTAATGCAATGGAATTAGGGTTGATTATAGAATAAAATCACGAGAATAGAGTAAGGTGAAAAATGAAAGATGAAAAATGCTTCGGCACGAATGGGCTGGCTCGACTGAAGTGATACCACGGCCGAGCAGAAAACCGACGTGAAACAACGCTTGCGTTAAGTTTCGTCGCGTGTGTGAGGACGTTACCGGAGGCCCAATTATCTTTCCCACCTTTCTTAATGTTCCCAATCCCTGAATCTCCAACAATACACAAATTCCCCAAAAGGTCAGTAACGCACTTGTAACGCCTCTGGTGTTCCGGGTGTCCATGGGCAAAGCGAAAAAGCGAAAACGCAGAACATTACAACAGCAGAAAGGAAAAGGTCTGGCTGGGGTAACGTTATCCCAGCAGGAAATGTTTTTGTGAAATAATTTTAAAAACTATAAGTGCAACAAATTTAAAAATGTGCGCAACAATTACAGAAGTTGCAAAACTAATTATCTATAAGATTCAAATGACTATTTTCGACAACATCTGGCCTGGGTATGTATAATCTCTATTAATTTTTCAGTGATGATCTCGGGCGATGTGTAATGGTGGTCGGGATGCCATATCCGAATGTAAAATCACCAGAGTTGCAGGAGAAGATGAACTATTTGAATAAAACTGCAGGCGGAAGCGCAGGAAATATTTATTATGAGAATCTTTGTATGAAAGCCGTGAACCAATGTATTGGTGAGTAAAAATATAATATTTGTACCTACTTTTACTCATATTAGACATATCATGATAACTGAGAACTAAGTTGTGCATAATTTTAAGGAGGTCACCTTTTTAACCGACTTTAAAATAGGAGGAGGAGTTTCTCAGTTTGCCCTGTCTTGTCTGTATGTTGGTGCGTAATTAATTAATTATCTTGCGTTTGACTTCACCGATTTTGATGCGGTTTTTAGAAGTGTTTGTTACACTCAGAAGGTTTTGGTATATATTAAAATTAATCAAATGACTTCAAAAATAGAAAGGGTTCTCGGTCGGAAGTCGGTTTTTTTAAACGTAGTTTATAAAATAATTATTTGTTATCACGACGCTCGATGCATCGCACGTCCGTTGTTGCGCATATTGCTCACGATGGGTCCCTGGTGTAGCTCGAAACTAATCGAGTAATCATCAAATAGTACCTAAAGTATTTCTACCTACCTACGTAATCAATTTTGTCCAATTACAGTTATTGGGTTTTTTTCAACCGTTGTGACTTAATTTAAATAAATTTAATAAGTAGGAATATATAATGACAAGTATTGGACAAGAGCCGTAATAAATCATTTAAAATGTAAATTATATGTTTACAGGTCGAGCCGTGAGGCACGCCAATGACTACTCTTGCGTGCTATTGGTGGATGAACGATACTCAAGACCTCAAACTATGTCCGCTTTACCTTCATTTGTACAGGTACAATAATTTGCTTATTCATGTACAGTAGATAAACCTAACAGATGTACAGACCATTTTTTGGACTGTACATTTAGAATGGTTGCAATTTTAAAGTACCTACTGCTAATGAGTTTGCTGACCACTCATTTGCCGCATGTCAGACGAGCGATGGGCAAAACTTAAAATTGAGTGGAGCCCACTTAACGTCATTAGACGTCGCGGCAGGCCTAAAGGGAAATTGCGGGATCAATTAGACATCTATGGAGAGGAGTGGAAGGAGGGTAGGGAGGTCTTTGCCCCTGCAGTGAGACGATCATGACTTAAAATAAATAAAAAATTAGTTTTTGAAAGGCCAAACACATCACAGAAGAGATGAAAAGAGCCTATTGCTTTTTAAAAGGCCGGCAACGCCCCTGTGCCTCCTCTGGTGTTGCGGTGGGCGACGCTGATCGCCTACCATCAGTTGATCCGTCTGCTCGTTGGCCTCCTATTCCATAAAAAAATCTGAAAATGTTACCTACCTAAGTATTTATCCGATTTTTAAAGCTCATAACGTCACGCCTTTTGGCACATGCATACATTATGTTGCACTTTTCATTACAATAACGGTAATTTCGTACGTAAATTTCTATTGTTATTATTTTTATTTTGATCAGTTATACTTCATAGGGACTTTTTTTTAATATTGTTATTGTGTATTGCAATCTATCATATAGATATTCAGCAATATTTTGGTAATAGGGACTTGACTAGAAAATCATTGTTTGTCTGTATCATGTATTTTAAATTTTGTTACAGAAATCACTGATATCGAATTGCAATTTTGGTACAACGATTAGTAATATAGCGAGGTTTTTTGCAAGACATAAAGAGAAATGAAAATTAATATGAAAATCATTACACAAAGAAGATCTGGTACATAAGAACACTGGTGGTATACATAGGATATTCTATAAGAACCATAATGGTACCACTATGAATTAGCAATTATGCATTATCTTTATTTATTTATTGTGTTGCATGCATGTAATTACATTACAACAAATATTCTGAAGTTATGAGATTTTTGAAATCTGTGTATTATGTGATAAAGAACAAGTTTTAAATAAATACTCAAAATTAAAGATTTGTTTTATTTTCAATCTAACAATTCTATACAGATACGTCAGTTACGCACTAAAATTGGGTACTTGCCAACTAGTCAAATTCAAAACTTAATCCGAACTGTCAAAACGACATTTCTATGAATTTTGTACGTGATTGTGTATTGTGGCATTATGTTTTTTTAGCGTCAAACACCATACTTATTTCTTAAAAAAATGCTGGAAAAATACTAAAACGAAGTTGGGCATAAAACCAATTAATGAAAGTGTTATTAATTTTTAATATTTTATTATATTGAACAATTGAAATAATTTATTTTTGATTAAGGCAAGTAGCAAATTGTGACTCTTGGCGGTCTGATTGGCCGGCTCCAATGAACCAACCAATAAAAGCGCCGAACACGGTCTCATATATATTACTTTAAACGCAAAACAAATTCGTACTAAGACTCTGCTCTGATTTTATTTTTGACTTATACCTACACAACACAGCATTTCGTTACATTATATCGTTGGAGTATCTAAGTTTATAGTGTCGGTTACCCAGGTCAGATGTTGTCGAAAATGGTCATTTTAATCTTATAGATAATTAGTTTTGCGGCTTCTGTAATTGTTGCGCACATTTTTAAATTTGTTGCGCTGATTATTTATTATTTCACAAAAACATTTCCTGCTGGGGTAACATTACCCCAGCCAGACCTTTTTCTTTCTAATGGGAATATTAAAATAATTACTAGCTATAGAATTAGTTGTCTAGATGAAGTAAACGTTGTGCCGTATTTTGTATTTGTTCTTTCATCTGTTGCGAAGAATCTCGAATAGATTATGCTGGGGTAACGTTTTTGGTTTTGCTAGACCTTTGAAATGGTTTAGCGGATTCGACAACATCTGGCCTGGGTAACGCACACAAGTTTATACTTTATTATTTACTTTTATCTTAAATTCACAAACATACTATACAATTATGTACATATCTACAAGACTACAAGTAATACAAAATTATTATAGGTGCAGTTTATCAGGTGATTTATCAGACTGCAGCTTAAGCCAAGATTGTATGAAGGCACTATCTTTCGACTTATTGATTTGTTTACGTTGACCACATGACTTTGTGGTGATAATAAAAAATCCCCACACTTCATTGCGTCTTTTATAACATTAACAAATTATAGATAGTCAAACTTGGTTAAGACTTGATTTATTTCGATTGAGCTATGCTCTTTATACTATACAAAGTTATTCCTATTGCTTAGCAACATATACTTAGGTTAGGTACAGTGGCCAGCAGTTCAATCTGCCCTGTTCTGGCAAACATTTTCATTAGACTTTCAACTTTACGGTTTTGATATAAAGTCAAAAATCCAATGAAACAATTTGAGTAGGTAGACATGCTGATGACTGAAAGTAATAAGTATGTACAGTTTTTTTTATTCTGCCAAAGCTTGTGGCAGTGTAGTGCCACAAGGTCCTTGGAAGTAGAAGTGGAATTCCGAGGTTGCAGGAGTGGGTTCCAAGTTAAACTCGGCTACGATAGCTCCTCGAGCAGCTGCTTCTGGTGCAAACATGGCCGCTGGATACACTACTGATGATGTACCCACTACTAAACATACATCACAGGTTGACATTGCTGTTTCTGTGAAGACAAAAATATTATTTTAATTCTTTTGAAGTATAATAAAAAATTGTATTTTTTAGTATTTTCGATTATTGAGTTAGTTCATTTTTGTTTTTCTTTATGATTTTGTTATATTTGGATGTAACATAGATTTAGTTTTTCAAGGCCTAGCTATCGCAATGGAGAAACCTGTCATGATAGTTTAGGTAAGGTTTTTTATTAATAAAATAATTAGAACCAATATTCAACCAAAATGTGCCTCAAGTATAAGTAATTGATTGGGATTCATAAATCCTTAGTAAATTGCAGCATTATGTAATGTTAAATGAGTTCCAACTTACTGGCTTTCTCCAACACAGCAGGATTTAAATTTTCTCCAAACCATACTATGTGTGGTCTCAGTAGACCACCACATTCAGGTTTCTGGCAGTGTGGTAGAGAGCTGATTGGAATATCTGAACCTCTTACATTTAAATCTGGAGCTCCTCTGCCTGCTAAAGCCTGGGAATTATAATGAAGGCTTGAAGATAAGTTGATTTGCAATATTTCTAGGAGCACTTCATTTCTAGAAATAGTGTAGAATTAGCCCGGGCAATACTAGTTCAGTACTATCCGAGATTGAAGTAACATAAACATTTAATATTTAATTTACAAAACATACTATGCTGTAATACTTTGAAGGTACAGTTAAGTAGGTACTAACCTTTTCGCCGCCCAGCTATACTAAACACGATGTGTCGCCGTACGCCAACGTATAAATGTATAATAAATGTATAGTACGAAAGTAGGGATGGCGGTAACATCATGTCGATAATGAAAAAAAATATGTGTAAATTTAAATTGGTACTCAAATTTACAATTAAAAATACAAACTGTTAAGTTATAATGGTAATTTGTTTTATTTTATGAACATTTATACTAAGAAAAATGGGTATCCGTTATCAGAGATGAAGATACATGCATAGAGTTGCTAGAGATAATAATAATAATTCGTAACATTAGCCACTTCACTATTCATTTCATAACGTAGTCTGTTTACTTCATATCAAGTCATTGGCGTTCAAAGCACGATACATTTCGTAAGGAATAGTTGTCTATGCTTTTCTTTCTTTCTATCGAGTTTGGTTTGCTTTTGGTTTTAGTTTACATTTAAAATCTAACGTCAGGTCACGATCAGGAACATTGTTTGTAGTGATTAAAAGTGGCAACATATGTGTAGTTTTGGAAATGGATGGTAAGTAACTATTTTAATACAGATGTACTAAACTTTAATAGCTTATTTTTCATTTAATGCAAATGAAAAACTGGCACGTTTGATGGATATTAGGTAGTCATAAAATACCTATTCGTTGCGGCTCTCGGTTTCGCAAACTTTTAGCTGTGTCGGCGAACAAATATAGACCTGAGTCGATCACAAATTTTTCGCGACCCAAACAGTTTGTAATCGAATCAAAATGAGTCAATCATTTGGATATTTCATAATCATGAAAATAATTATAGGTATAGGCCGTGCGATTAATCGATTAAGTGCGATTGCGTGCGTGCACGCGTCGCCCGGAACTATGACACAATGACCTTGACGCCAAAGCGCTTACGACGTCACAGGTTTACTTCTATTGAAGTTGACGGCGCTAGTGTCACTCGACATCTTGCCATTACGTAGAGATGGGTCTAGCAATATCGAAAACCCTCAGTACATAATAATTAATTTTAATGAAATGATTTGATAGGTAGATGTACATTAATTTTGAAACGCATTGTAATACGTTATTTACTGACCGGAATTTCTTTTTATTCATAGAATTCAAAAAACTATTGGATGGAAAAGAAAACAAATATTATAGTAAATAAAGATTCTAATGAATGCTCCTTACGCGTCACATCACTGGCCTACTTGATATGAAGTTGTTGGCGTGCGGGATATAAAATTATTTGAAACCTTTTATGTTTTACCTTTTTAAAACAGAAAATAGTCTGTTTTGCATGAGAAAAAATAGTTCGTCGTGTCCATATTACAAAATTACAAAGAAACAAATGTTTTATGTATCGTAAATGTATTTTTTATAGTAGGTAGATACAATGAACTTCTATAGAAGTAGTGGCGTGGACGGCACGAAAACCCTGAACTTCTATAGAAGTTGTTGGCGGCGAAAAGGTTAAAAGGTATATCTACAATATTTTTACTACAATTCTTTAAGTAAATCTTAGCAATATCTACAACTTACTTCACAAATTGGACTATCATTGTTGGCCAAGACCTCTTTACATTTAGTACACCTTGTCTTAAATAGATTTCCATGGAGTTCGATCAAGTCATTAGTTCCAGCTCTAGCATGTAACCCATCAACATTTTGTGTGATCACTGTTATTTTTTTATCTGTCCCATGCCTGGCTTCATATTCAGCAATGGCTAAATGACCCTGAAAGCAAAATAAAGCTGGTAAATAAATAGTATAATTAAAAAAACAAATATGTTGTAGTGTTGTAGATAATCTTGTATGAATATTCAAGAAGGCATTACATGGATTTCACTCATTAGTCCATTAAAATAGGTCGAAGATACACTACTTACAGCATTTGGTTGCGCCTTAGCTGCTACTTCTCTCCTATAATGATAGAATTCCCAAACTAAGCTGGGATTACTCCGAAATGCTCCAGGAGTAGCAAGAGACGCCGCTTCGTATGTTCTCCACAATCCACCAGCGCCGCGAAACGTTGGTATTCCAGATTCTGCACTAATACCGGCTCCCGATAAGACAACAATCTCTTTAGCCGATCTTAATGCTTCCCTGAACTTTGGCATATCACTAGACTGTCGCGAAGCCATGATTTTAGGAAAACTACAAATCACTACCGTTCTACGTATTGTTCTTAATAAACTAATGGACATATTGAATTACTGTACAAAGTTCAATATAAATTATTTAAATAAATTCATTATAAAACTCGTATTCAAATTGAAAACACTGCGAAGTGCAGTGCAGTGGTAGTCTGACAATTGACAGATGTCAAATATTTCTGACTTTGACTTATCTGCTTGCGATAACATTCAGAAATTGATAATAATTTATTTATCAAAGTTATTTAATACTTTTTGGAATATTTTCTTATCTTGTCGTCGTACATCTTAATGCTCAGCTCAACCAGTTCTTACCAGATAGGAATGTAACCAAACCGGTAATTTCTGAATTGACGTACCTATGTCCTATTAGTTTTCTGCTTACTCTACACCCATGACAAAAAGCATTCTCAAGACATAATTATGTTATTTTTCGACTCATGTAATAAAAAATAATCTAAGATTACATAATGACAAAAGACTTCAATAATAAAAGGCAATTAGATAACAATATCATGTTTCTTCCAGGATCAGGCCCTACCCAGTTAAAACAATGCAATCTAAACAATAACATTTTAATAAATACACTTTACTGACTTTACACTCAAAAATTTCATTAATACGTATACACATTTATTTACATTTAAAATTCTAATACAGTTTAAAAACAACTTGTTTAAACGTCCAGAGCCTCAGGTAGTGTAACACTACAGGGGCCAACAAAGGAATAATGGTAGTTCGAGTTTGTATCCATTTCGTTATTAAATTCTGCGATTATTGCTCCATTATTCATTGCATCAGGGGCATATTGCGCTGCTGGAAATAATAGTGAGGGCGACCCAACTACTAGGCACAGATCACAAGCTGAAATTACTGCCTCTGTAAAAAAAAAACAACAAAATTAGTGAAGTGTTTATATTTCCAACTCAATATGTACTCAGCATGACATTCAGTGTGCCAAATATTTCAGTATTAAATGAGAGCTAATGTTTTTATTTTGTTTACCAGATGAGAATAGACTTGCTCACCAGCAGCTGTAGCCAAATGCCATTTACCCCTTGTCTACATGTAGAATAGAAATCCAAATTATATAGAATTGACATAAATTTTGACACTTGTCAGTGTCATCCCCATACATTTAGTTTTCTACTCTTTCTGTAGACAAGCGCTCAATTGGCATTTGGCTAAAGGCCCAGAGATGGCAATAATGTAGCATGGGGTTTATTTGTTCTATCACTACCTACAGTTGTAAAAAATTGACCATCCAAAGGTTTAATGTTATGCTAGCTTATCTCTTAAAAGACAAACAAATCCCAAGCTACATTAGTTGTCCCGCATTGAGATGGTACTATAGTACAATAGATTTTTTAAATCTATATTTACCTGCTTTTTGAATCACAGAAGGGTCTATGCTATCTCCATACCAGACAATGTCTGGTCTAAGCAGGCCAGTACAACTGGGCTTACTGCAGTGTGGTAGTAGTTTCTCAGGAATGTCTGAATTTGTATCGGTGCTATCTGGAGATCCTTTGTTTGCTAAAGCCTGAAAAATAAAACAAACAGTTTATTTTATATTTTTCTACCAAGTTTGCAATTTGTCATTGAATTTTTAGGACTTTTCTGTTTTGTTTTTTTTTCTTTTTAAAATTATTTTAATTGAAATAAATAAATAGTCTAGTTACAATGTTGAAATAATGAATTCAAGTCAATATTGTTTAAGAATTGATATATTATATCTGAACAGTTAGGGTAAGTTCGTCTGGTTGTGTCCGTCCTACTAAAGCACGGAATATAGAATACAATGGAAGTAGCAAGTAGGCGTGGCACGCGTGCCACAACTGAGCCGTGTACTGCGTACTCGAGGCAAATTCGAGTTCAGTCTCGTTCGAATATGGCGTCGAGTTTCTAGTCTCGTGACAAATACATATTTCCTCAACTATGCCGTTTTGTTCCGTTTTGGCGTGTAAAATTGATAGCAGCCGAAAAATCGTAAAAATGGAGGTGTTTCGTATCATCGGTAAGTACAATTTTCATTGTTTTCTTGTAGAAATCTTATTTTATTTCAATTTACAAAAACGGTTATTAAAATAATATTATTTACTAAAACGGTTAGTCAAAATCAACCTTACGCCTTCAAGATAAAGTTTATTTTGGATTTATTCCATTCAATAGAACATTCTCGCCAGTTCTACGCTACTCAAATAGTGATGTAGTCAAATCACATATTGAATTTATCGATTGATATCGATGCAAGTGTAATGTAACATTTATTTAGATTATTTTTTTATTATTATTTTAGTGGTGACCCCGACGTGATTGGAAGCAACCTTCACTTCACGGAGCAGATCAGCACCGTCATCCTTATCGCCATCCCTCTCATTTATCACATTATCCATATAAAGTTTGTAAAAAAATATGTAATAGTTGTTACATATATTGCCTATGTGAAATAAAAAAAAATGATTTTTTGAAAAAAAGAAACTAATAAAAAATACGAACAAAATGATTTTTAATTTACATGCAAATAAATACTTACCCTTTTTTGTTACGTTTAAAAAGTTATCAACGACATATTAATTTTATTATTTTAATACTGTCACACTATCGCAGTCAATATTTTTTTCACATTATTTTTAAAACACATTTTCATATTATCGATATTATTTTTATCGAATTAGGCTACATCACTATCTGAGTAGACACCCGCATTCGAGCCAGTGATAAGCCATTCAAATATCACCTTTATTCTTATGACGTTAAAGTTCAAACCAAGTACCACTTTTCGTCGCTAGATGGCGTTTAACAATGCCATCTAGCGGTACTTGGTAGTCCAAAATATACTTTTTTATTTTGATTTATAGTGCATTGATTTTAAAGTTGCATATCGTATGATATTTTTTTTGCATTTCGTTTACGCCCATTTTTTTTCTAACCAATCGTAACTTCCGATTTATAGTATGAGTAAATTATAAATGTATTAGTTTGGCGACACCGGTTCTGGCAGAAATATTGTTTCAAGCTACTTCCATTGTATTCTATATTCCGTGTACTAAAGTATGCCTGTTTGCATCTACCCACCAGTTCGCATTCATTTTACTCCAGTTCACTGTGAATGTAAGGCACTTAAAACATTTTTTTTAGTAAATATGGTATTTCAGGAATTTCATAAGGGTGTTCTGTAACATGGACACGAAGTGGTGGTTGGACGCGAACTTACCATATAATTGAGGTGAATTAAAAATGTCTCTGTATTAACCCTTTGAGTACCATCATTATAGACACAATTAAAGAACAATAGGTTGCGGTCACTGGTGTCCTCGCGGTGTTTGACAGTTTAAGTGACTTAGTATTTTTTTATACTTACTTCACAAATAGGGTGGTCATTATTAGGTACAACGTCATTGCACTTGATGCACCTTGTCTTGAACAAACTGCCATGAAGTTCAATGAGGTTCTTTGTGTTAGCTCTTGAGTGGAGGCCATCTATACTCTGTGTAATCACAGTTATCGACTTATCCTTACCATGTTTTTCTTCAAACAACGCTATCGCTTTGTGAGCCTGGAAAATGAAACATGAGACTGTTTTAAAAGAGAGAATTTTCAAGTTTTTGTGTTTTGTGTACTTTTTTATATTTGAAGAGACCCGCCCTGGCTTCGCTCAGGTGCAATATGCATGTATTATACCTATAAACCTTAGTTAAGCCTTTGACTGTCGACAGAAAACTGCTGAAAGCAAATCATCCGCTAACATAGGTCACCAGAGATCTGCGGTGGTTAACGTCTTAAGAATCACTCTATCTATTAATAATAATAATAATAAGCCCGCAGGGCACCTTGAGGCGAGGTGACGGGCATTAGCGATCCCGCGGGCTACCATCATCCCGAGTGCTCCAGGGAGAAGTCACCGTTCCTTCTTCTCCGGCTTGCCTTAATTGGCTGGCTGGAGTGAACGATGACAAGGAACAGGTCTCCCACCTCTGGCTTGCCTTCATTGGCCGTCCAGAGTGGAGTCGCGAGAGCAGTGATCCTGCTCGGAGGGTAAGAAACTATTCGTAAGTCGCGAGTGGGCCAGGGATGCAGGAGGCTTCGGCTGGAGCAGATGATCTGAGTAGAAAGCGGTGGTAGTTTCTTAACCCTTCAGCCACTCACATTCTCGTTGCCCCTCTGTTGCTATATCTAGCAACCATTCCCGGGGCCCGGTCGGTGAGTTGGCGAGTCTCCGCCTGCCATTTTTACGTGTAAAAATTACATTGTTTCGGCAGGTGCCATAGTCATCCATAGTTCCCAATTTACCAGTCCACAACAACCCATCCATAGCCCTACCTTTTTTTTCCATTATTCACAATAGTCCTACACTAACCGGGGACTGTCCTTGGGTGCATTTCCATGGTGCATACAGGGATAGTCGCCGGTTTGTGTCTCCATTACATTTAGATTAAAGTTGTCTAAAGGGCCTCTGCGCAGTTGGCTTCGGCCCCTTGTACGCCTCCCAAATGACCGGGACCCTGTGGTCCCGTGAATGGTAAAGACACATAATAATAATAAAAATCTTTATTTTCTCAAAAATACTCTACGGATACAAATTATATAATATATTACAATTAAGAGACTGGTGTCTATTAAAAACAGCATCAACATCCGCTGCGTATTTTTAAAGATCTAAGTAAACATAGTGACAGACAGACGGCGGATAGCGACTTTGTTGTATACTTTATTGATTTGATTTGATTTGATAGGCCAACATTTGACCAATATCTCGCCTGGTGATATGCGATAATGCGGTTGACTTGCTTACCTCATTAGGCTGTGCATTTACCGCCATTTCTCGTCTGTAATGATAGAATTCCCAAACTAAACTAGGGAATGTCAGAAATGCTCCTGATGTTGCTAGTGTGGAAGTCTGATACTTCCTCCAAAAACTAGTTTTGCCGTAAATAGGAACACCAGATTCTGTGCTTATATCGTCACCAGTGACTATAGCAACATTCTTTGCAGACTTTAAAGATTCTTTGAATAATGCCATATAACTATTATGCCGGGTAGCCATTATTCTAGGCACACTAGAAGCTACTAAAGTACTACGAACTAATACACATAGAGGAGTGATTATAAAGGGCATTATATTAATAAGGTTGCTCGTAAATTCAATTTATAATAGCCAAAATTCAATATTTAAACCTAACCTGAAAATTATGAGTATTTTGAAAATAAAATCTCTAAACGTCAAAGTCAAATGTCAGTTGACATTGAACGTTTCGTTTATAAACTTTAGGACTAAAAACATCTAATTATTTCCTGTTTATAGTAAATAAAAAAAATGCCTCATGTAGTAATAGCGTAAAAGGTTTGCTCTTGTTACTTTCAAGAGCGTTTAAAATACAAATATATTTTTGAATAATTTCCAGTAATGTAATAATATAATTTGTTTTGATGGGGAAAGTTTTTAAATTACTCCTCCCGCCAATTCATAATAAGGCTAAAGCGAGTGTCAGATACTGACAAAAAACAGTGGTTTAGTTTATTTATTTATTTATTTAAGGAAAAACAAACAGTAACATATTACAAAATATACATAATTCAGCTTACACATTATACTTGGCAAATATGTTACCCACTACGTTCTCCACAGATTACTTTTTATATTAGATCTAGAGTGACACAAATATAGTTACATAGAATAAACTTATGTGAAACAAAGACAATAGCCTTCATAGATTTACGATGCACCACTTACATGAATAATTAAAATGGTCACCAACAAATTTTTACAATTTTTACAATTCTTACAATTTCGTACACACACAGCGTCACAGACAGTAGTTGCACGGAGTGCCGTACAAACTCCTGCTTTAAGTCGGAGTCCCGGTGGGTCACCGGTTGTACGCAGCCCTTCAGTTACAGTAGGTAATCATTGTCACATAGTCCTATTAGATAAGACAACTGTTGTTATGAGATTTGTTCTTAGGACATAATACAATGGGTGCATCATAACGTTAATATAATAACTAACAGTTGCGAGTTAATGTAGGTCAGTAGTTAGCAGATACTCAATTAGGTACCTATACATAATACGTAATTAGGTATGTACTAACCTTCGTATACATTTAGAACTTTAGGTACGAAGTCTCTTGTAGGTTTAGTGGCTGGAAGTACGATTGCTGATTAAAAGGTTCCGGATATACAAATTCACATAGGTACCTAGGTATTGTTTTTTAAGGGGGGAAAATCGTCTAATTACTGCTTCCGCCTGGGTGAGGCGGGAGGGAGTGTCAGACTCTTACTGACTAAAAACCACCCCGTTCCTTCTCCTGCACGTCGAGCCGGAGCCCCGGTTACCCGTTAGGTTCTCCGCGACAGGTACCTACCTAGGTATTATAGATTATATTATTTGTGGTAGATATTTAGATATATATTACACTCTGACCCGAAACACCGGTTTATGGATTTTTTAATGGAATAGGAGGCAAACGGGGAGACTAATCATCTGATGGTAAGCGACACCAGCAATACCAGAGGAGTTACAGGTGCTTTGCAGGATCACTCAAATTAATGTTCTGCGCGAGAACCGAACTCGCGACACGTCTATTGCTACAATCCTTGTTGGAGTAAGTGAAAAGCTAATAAAATCCAATAATGTTTGCCCAACTCGGAAATCGAACGCGAGACCCCATATCGTCAGTCGTAGGTACATATAATTACTCAATCAACAAAACAAGGCAGTGAATTTTAATGTATTTCACTAGTTATAAATAAATCAGTAAGTAGGTACCTATAATTATTTGAAATTACTTGTTACCTATGCGTCAAATCAAATTAAGTAGTTACTCGATAGTCACGGCTTAATCAGTAACGATAATTAAACTCTTCCGCCTTCCCTATAATTAACATTCCATTATTTTTCGCCTGATTACGATTTCATACCGACTAACGCGACTGTACCTCCGTCCTAAGTCCTTACGTACACTCGAAAAGAAAATGATATCGCTCTCAAGTTGAGCCTTAAAAAAACTGTCTCCGCGCACCTACATCATAAGAACTTTACTAAAAAGGGGAGATATTGAGACGCGACGAGATTCTTGAATACTCGTATAATACTCTCGAGAGCACGCCATGTAGATATTACTGTGTTAGATATTTGCTTTCTGCCTTCCTGCCTCAGTTGCCTCAGTTTCTTGCATTACTCAGACGCGCGCACTCGTGTCGCTCAAACCGATAACACGATCGCGAACCGCGACGAAAACCCCGGACTAATTTTCCCGGAGTTTCCCCCAACACTAACGCAATTTTAAATTTGGAACAGTGAATTTTGTGAATAAAATTTTTAATTACATTTAAAGTTAAATAAAATTTAACAATGATTAAATAAATATAGGTCGTAAGCACATATAACCAAGGTAGTGAGATATTTTGGTACCCGGGCGACATGCCAAACAGTTTGATTATAATTCTGTGACGATCGCCATGTGATTAGTAAACATTGATATACATACGTAAAGCTAAATAAAAAGTGTCATCTAAATAAAATAAATTAAATATTTACCTACATAAACAAATAAATAATGAATGGATAAACTTAAATCATAATGCAACATTAACCTACTAATTGAATTTAGAACAGTGATTTTAAAAATATGTGTTAGTGCAAAGGTAGATAAGTATTTTCTACATAAATATTAAATCGGCAATGACATTGCTATGAATGTGCCAACGATTAAAACGGATTCGGAGGTGGACCTTCAGACGCAGAGTACCTCTCGTCTCCAGCCGAGGAGAAGCACTGGAACTCCTAAAAAGTCTGTGGCCTCAAAGCTATGGGACTTATTGCAGCCCCTAGCGAGATTATGGGGACTTATAACTGCCGTTGGTTAGTATTGCGTAGCTTCAACTTGTTATTGATAATTATAAATTTTTGATTTATGTACAACGTTTACAAGTTATTAAGTACCTACACCAGGAAATATTGTTTTATAATCGATGCTTGGGAAATATGATTTCCAACAAAAAGTTTAATAATTAATTAACCTATTTGTATACAAAGTTTGTGCTTAGGTATAAAAATAATATCGCACAAGTATGAATAAAAAAAATAGGTATAATTAATTAATTCAAATAATGATTTTATGCCAACACAATGAAGATACCAGTTTTACTACATTTGGCGTATCATAAAGTAGGAATCTTTTAATCTATATCTGCTTAAATATGGGTCCAAAGATATTCTTTGTAATATAAAAAAAGCCTCAAGCGATTTCCCTTAATTCCCTCCTCATTATCAATAAGTACCAACCGTTAATGACGGATAAACAGCTCAAAGAAATTGGAATTTTAACACGCAGGTCTTAACATAAATTTTTGAGTCTCAATTAACAACTCCAATTTTTCTTCGGCCGATGAATTGCTTCTGTAATTAATTGCTTTAATTTCAGATAGGGAAATCATCTGACGTAGACGTATTAAGGACAATGGGGGGAGTCCTTACTAATATTATACTTAACTCGTCGAGTACCGGTTTTATAGACACAATTAAAGAACAATAGGTCGCGGTCACCGGCGACCGCTTGGTGTTTGACAGTTTAAATCAGAAAGTGAGTTTGTTTGTTTGTTTGTTCCGCTTTCACGCCGTAACTACTAAACCGATTGCTTTGAATTTTTGCAGGCGTAGAGTTAGAAGTCTGGATTAAATGATAGGGTACGTTTTATCCCGGAAAAATTGTATATTCCCGACGGAAAACGAAATTATTGGTATAGATGGCGCTGTGAGTATTGGTAGGTATATGTAACATAGGTTCCTTTCATCCTTTTGTGACGCGAGCTAATCCGCGGGTAAAAGCTAGTATTTTAATAAAATCTAAACAATTGTGCGTGTCACTAAATAATGTTTAACTAAAGTTTCGTAGGACTATTGAATAAACAAGTGGGAGAAGTTGGTTAGACATGACATGGTCCCCTTAGCGTGTTCAAAGACAATTTGTGAACATTTCTGTGGCATCTGTGAATGAATGGCTATGCGAATAACTGTGACGGAAAAGTTTTGGTATAATAAGAAGGCAAAGGACTCTAATTCCCAAAGGAGGTAGGGGGTTCCTTCCTTTTTATATTTGCACGAACATTGTATAATGCGAGCATGGGGTTGCGTAGTTGGGCGTGCTGTAGCTGTTGGGTCAAAATTAATGAACCGTGAAATTCGAGTTTACTTCTTCCAATAATATTCAAAGCCCTAGAAAGAACGACGTTTGTGCATAAGGTTTTTTTTAAGTTGGGAACATCATCGAATGACTGCTCCCGCCTGGGTGAGGCGGGAGGGAGTGTCAGACTCTTACTGACTAAAACCCACCCCGTTCCTTCTCCTGCACGTCGAGCCGGAGCCCCGGTAACCCGTTAAGTTCTCCGCGACTGTGCTTAAGGTTAGGTGGCGTTTAGCTTTTGCCTTTTCTCATGGGACACACAACGTAACAATTGACTGATGATCCCTTTCCGAGAATAACAAATGTCATATTATGCTAATTCTGTTTTTCTAATAGTTTAGCAGTGACGCAAGTGGACTTCGCATTGAAACTAAAAAAAAGTGTTTGACAGTAATAATTTTTGCCTAAATTTCATTGAAGGTTTTTTTGCATAGAGCTTATGTACCTGGTACCTATGTTATGCTTATGGCTTAGGCAAAAACATAGGAAATACTTATCGCAATAAATATAACCTAAGTAGTACTGAAATTCTGATGACATTTTTTACAGTTGTTGTTTGTTGTTGTAGAATATACCTTGGCAAAGACTAATTCAAAAACCTAATTTCTACTAGAAGTCATTATTTTATACGGTCGGAGTAACAGCTAGTATTACATATAACTGGCAAAAGTTTTTTTTAAGGGGGAGAAGTCATCAAATGACTGCTCCCGTCTGGGTGCAGCGGGAGGGAGTGTCAGACTCTTACTGACTAAAACCCATCTGGATCGACCATCCTATCGAGCCGGAGGCCCGGCAACCCGTTATCTACCGAAATCTACTGAAAAATATTGCTACTGGACAATTCTAGTATATAGCATTGCAATGAATGCTATTGGACATTTGATGTTCTAATGAGACAACACATCTTTAAAGAAATATCTTCTAAAATGAGTATGACTATTGGATGTTCAGCAGTAGACAAAAGGAAATCTGTTGATGATGACGATGAATCACGTAATAGGGGGAAAACTACATAATATATGGGCTTCTGATGCACTGCCTCTTATCTTGGGAAGTATTTACATGAGTAAGAATTCTAGTAGTATTTCAATAAGATTGCAATGTCAACAATTGCAATTGTAGACATAGACGTATTTTATTAGCAAGCCACTTTCCTTATGTGACTTGTAACATTACTATTTGAGTGGGTACTTAATGATAACACGCTCGTAAGATAGTTCGTAAATTTCCTTTTTTCATTTTGTCAAAGTCTGGGAATTTTGTTCCGAGTACAAATGGGAATCTATAACATATGTAGGTTCATAACATAACTGGTGGAAAGTTAACGTTTTGTTTACTTTAGGTACTAGCTGAGCCCGCGACGTGATTGATAGCTCCTTCCACGTAGTTGAAAACATGATAATATGTAGCCTATATGTTGACCCGACCTGTAATATTCATGCAAAATTTGACGTAAATCCATACAGCACTTTTTGAGCTCATCCCGGACATACATACAGACAAACAGACAACAAATATTCTAAAAACCGCATACCTTTGGTTTCGGTATCGAATGTAGATCACGCCTCAAGCATTCTTTTAAAAAATATTCGATGTACAGTTTTCACTCTTCTACGATTTTATTATAAGTATGTATATGTAGATATATGTAGATTACCCAAGCATTTTCATATGTTTTTTTTAATATGGGTTCCGGAAAATTAACGACGTCACATTATCAACTGATGTCAAATTTAAAAAAAACTGATAGCCATCAAATTACTACAAACAATAATCTCTATATAAACTAGCTGAAATACTCTAACCTACTCTATCCCACTCTATCCTACTCTACCCTATTCTACTGTACCCTAATGAAAAATATACTATCCTATCTCTTAAGTTGGATCGAACTGCACATGGCGTGCGAATTTTATTATAATCGGTTAAGTGGTTTAGGAGTCCATTGAGGACAAACATTGTGACACGAGATTCATATATATTAAACTGTCAAACACCAAGCGGTCACCGGCGACCGCGACCTATTGTTCTTTAATTGTGTCTATAAAACCGGTACTCGACGAGTTAAGATAAATCCCTTTTTCCCTTGGTCACGGCATCACGCGTGAATGGCTGGACCGATTTCACTAATTCTTTTTTTGTTGTATTTTTTATTAATTAGGAGAAGGTTCTTAAGACAGAATAAATCCTGAACATTCTCCGGGAACGGGAGAAAACGGGATTGCGCGTACGAAGTCGCGGGCAGAAGCTAGTCACTAATAGTCCAGCTAATAATAATAAATTAAATCCAAGTAAGTACTAATTACTCGTATTAATCAATTAACTACGAAACTACGTGATTACAATAAATTATAATACTTATTACCTGCGCAGGACAGTCTATCATTGATCTGTAATTATTTGTTTAGACTGATAACGTTGATAATATCGTCTGGGGAAACCTAATGGGCTATAGTCTTTAGTGTCTGGAGATAACCTCTATAGAATAATCACATATGGAATCCATACTAATGAAATACCGCCGAGTTACCTAACTATTCGTTTATTACGATTGTTTATATCAGAGTCTATATCTAGACTGCCTCGTTGGCCGAGTGGTTGTAAATGCGACTGCCGGGCAAGGGGTGTCGGGTTCGATACCCAGATCGGTCAAAGTATTACTGGGTCTTTAAATATTCTCAGTAGTAGCACGGAGTCTGGAATTGTGCCTGGTATATGACAAAAGGCTCACCTCCTATTATGTAATACTGATAGGTACTGTAACACCCACTTTTCACTATTTATGTTATGAGCCCCATGTACGTAATAGCGCGTGAGCACAGAAATATTAAAAAATATATCTGTGCGCGTGGGCGTATTGCCATATACCGGGCACAATTTAAGACTCCGTGCTACTACTGAGATTAAAAAAAACCCAGTCGTACTTTGCCCGACCCGGGAATCGAACCAGCAGTCACACTTGCGACCATTCACCAAAGAGGCAGTAACAATAATTAATTATGACGCCTTATAAAACCTAACAGCCCAGCCAGAGAAACTCAAAATTGTGAATGATTTTGACTAGGAAAAGCCATGACAGTTAATTTAGGTACTTGAACCGTCAACAATCCATCGCGGAGAACCTAACGGGTTACCGGGGCTCCGGCTCGACGTGCAGGAGAAGGAACGGGGTGGTTTTTAGTCAGTAAGAGTCTGGCACTCCCTCCCGCCTCACCCAGGCGGGAGATAATTCGATGATTTTCCCCCTTAAAAAAACCGTCAACAACCCTAAGAAGACAATACACCTTACTTCAAATCAAAGTCTTTACTTTAGAAGATATTTCTTTAAAGATGTGTTGTCTCATTATCTACAAGGCTCATTATCTTATTGACTTTGATGATTTGCCTACTTAAACATTGTTACGTCACTTGAATGACAACTTTTGACATAATATTTAACTTTTTACGTCGCCTTATACTTATTTGTTTTCGAGTGTTTCGTAAAAACGTTTTATATGAAAGATACACAAGTAAGAAATCATTACTGCGTCAAGACTTTTTCTATGAATGCGTCAAAAGTCGATTGTTTTAAAAAGTTTGTTCGTTTTGCATTAAATTGAACAAATAGTTAATTTTCTCTCGTTGCCCTTTTTGACCGAGTCGTAAGTGCGACTGCCGGGCAAGGGGTCTCGGGTTTGAT